TTAATAGTTTAAAAAACTTTCATTAAAACAATTTTTTTAGCCTGAAGCCTTCTTTTTAACAATAACTATTTTAATAGACTTCAGGCCTAATTTATTTCCGTGAGGTTCATTTTCAACGCTTCGCTGTACATCTCTCATGCTGCGGCCCCAAAGCTCGCATGTTATTCATTTGCTCTTTATTCGCCTTATGCTATCCCCTGCCTTTGATTCCCATTCACACTTGTCTTTGATTCACATTCACACTTGTCTTTGATTCGCATTCACATGCATCTTTGATTCGCATTCACATGTGTCTTTGATTCACATTCACATGTGTGTTTGATTCACATTCACAAGTATCTTTGATTCACATTCACATCTGTGTCTGATTCACATTCACACGTGCCTCCGATTCACATTCACAAGTATCTTTGATTCACAATCACACGTGTCTTTGATTCACATTCTTACGTGTCTTTGATTCACATTCACACGTGTCTTTGATTCACATTCACATCTGTCTTTGATTCACATTCTTACGTGTCTTTAATTCACATTCACATGTGTCTTTAATTCACATTCACATCTGTCTTTGATTCACATTCACACGTGTCTTTAATTCACATTCACATGTGTCTTTGATTCACATTCTTACGTGTCTTTAATTCACATTCACATGTGTCTTTAATTCACATTCACATGTGTCTTTAATTCACATTCACAAGTATCTTTGATTCACATTCACACGTGTCTTTAATTCACATTCACATGTGTCTTTGATTCACATTCTTACGTGTCTTTAATTCACATTCTTACGTGTCTTTAATTCACATTCACATGTGTCTTTGATTCACATTCACACGTGTCTTTGATTCACATTCACATGTGTGATTGATTCACATTCTTAGGTGTCTTTAATTCATATTCACAAGTATCTTTGATTCCCATTCACATGTGTCTTTGAGTCACATTCACATCTGTGACTGAGTCACATTCACACGTGTCTTTAATTCACATTCTTACGTGTCTTTGATTCACATTCACACGTGTCTTTAATTCACATTCACAAGTATATTTAATTCACAATCACATATGTCTTTGAATTCACAATCACACGTGTCTTTGATTCACATTCACATGTGTCTTTAATTCACGTAATAACTCAATTCAACGAAATGTTACGAACAAACTATAAGTGTTCTGCGCTCCGGCCGCTGTCTGTACAGATTTTGTGTCGCTGGAAAAAACTTCACTTGAATACACTTGATTAAATCATGTTTAGAAATAACGAAATATTTTGTCACGCTAAATAATATGATTCGAAAAAATCGAAGGTCTCCACCCGATCTCCCAACCTCAATCATTTTTCGGTTATGCTGACACTAAATTTATCAATTATGTTTTTTTTATTGCCCCAGCAACATTATCACTGCGATAAATAATTGAGCTCATTTTTTTCGATCTGATTAGCGTTGATACATAATTTTTTCTACAGTGCTTTTAATTTGATACCACTATGATGTTAGCATGCAAGTTATAACCGTTCCTGCTGTATTTTGAGACATTGGCGGTTAAAAGTCTAATTAAATTTTAAGCAAATTGTCTTCTTAAAAAAGTAGACACGAGCACAATTCGTCAATGAGGATACATAAAAAAATCATACATTATTTCAATGCAGAGTAACGGGAACCAGTTCGATGCACTCGGAGAAATTAGCGAGAATTTATCCAAAAAAGCGATACACATTTTGTCCTTGTATGGGCCATCATGACCAAGTTTGACGCAGTAAAAGGGCATATCAGGGCTACGTCTGCTCACTGTGGGTAAGTAAGTAAGTGTGTCACTATTTGATCAATGTGAACCACTAATTTTTCTGTGTATGCGTGTTTAAACAGACGACATTGGAGACACGGCTTGCGCGAAGGTTGGCCGAATGCACGGCCGAATGCACGTGTAAATATTCAGAGCAAACCCACGCGTTTTCAAAAGTATATCGCGCCCAGACGCGCAGTTTCTTCTGGCTCTATGCCCATAGATTTCAATAGATTGTTTAAGTTTAGCAAATTTACTGGCAGTTCTTGTGCATACAGTGCGCTGTTAGTTAATAACTAATGCGACGTGTTAATTCTTGATGTTGCGGTTTTAGAATAGCTTGTATTTGTGTCAGTAGCGTATAACCGACGCTATTTTTTGAGTCCGTGTTTAGTTGTCCAGGTTGTTAAGAAGCTGCGGAAACATCTGTTTTCATCTAAACATCAAACACACATTTGTATGTTTTTATTTGACACACAACATGGCTGAGCTGATAAAGATCACGTGTAGAGATCCCTGCTTGCTTTATTCTCTCGCTCAATTTCTCTTCATAGCCAATTTTGGTCACCGCGTTTCGGGAGCGTTCAATTGTCTAGTAAAGATGTCGGTTTTAAACCTGCTTTGCGACTTTAAAATAGAATTATCTATGCAGCTCTTGCTCAAGCATGACTATCTACTATAAAAAATTTTCTCGCTATAAAGCCTGGATATTTAGTTATTTGATAAATAAAAATTAAAAAATCTTGAGATTTAAAAAATTAAATTCAAATTTTAATTTGCAGTTAATTTTCTGAAACTAAAAACGTTCATCCTGATGTTTGAAAAATTTTGATGCAATGCATAACGATATTTACACCTGATAAATACATTTCGGCATTCGCATTTGTTGAAATTCCGTAAAAAATAAATATCGTGTCTTTGTTTAATGTAGTATGAGTTAGTGCATATATATGTACGTGTAATTAGTGTAGGTTGGCAGAATTTGTTCCGTTAAGCAGGTTTCATTGAAGACCATAGAATTTGTTTTATTGACAAATTTCTTGTTAGTTTTTTCAATATATCGGACAATATTTTTTGTTTGCACTGGTAAATCGAAAATCAGGGTACCGATGAACAATTTTATTTCGTTAACGATGTTTCAAATGTATCAATCATATATATATGTCCGAACTAAATTCGCTTCCGAGGTAACGGTATAATTACAATCATTGCCGATATAGATAGTCGCTGACTTGGATAAATGTAATGGTTACGGTTTAATGAAACCTCATATGGAACTTAAGCCCTAGAAATCATCAAAATAATCCATGGATATCAATGTAAAAGGTTTCGGTATATATGATACCAATATACTGGATAACAATTCGAGTAGAAAAAATATCAATATATACTGAATATTGGTATGCTAGATGTAAATATACTAAATACTTATATTTTAGATATCGATGTACGGGATATAATGCATGTCAATTCTCAGTAAATATAGTGAGCTACTATATAGCGCCTCCCGACCGCCTGTTTTCATATATGGCGGCTGGGCTTCCATATACATCCGTTAACTGCACAACTGCGATTGCATTTACATATATTCAAATTGGAAGTAGTAACACTAAATTTAATCTTTTATAAGCGTTTTTATCTCTCTGAGTGTGCTCTTCAGGGGGGACTTTTGACGCGTGTCTGTGCTCGTCAGAAGGCCTATGGGATTTCGCGCTCTTGGGGGGTGTTGCGGACTATTTATTGCTTTTCAGCGCAACTGTTTCCTATGGCAGGATTAATTGAATACGCGTGCATCCATGGATTCATTTGTGCTTTACATTCCCAGAAGACACGGTTTCAAAATTCGTTCCTGATCTAAGATTGGTATTTACTTCGCAGCTGACAGATGATGAATGAACGAAAAGGTTTCGCAAGACCACAGAATTAAGCTACTACCCTAAGACAAATGTTGCGTTCACAACAGGGGGATTGTTCCTGAGCGCACCACCGCTGAGCTCGCGGTGTCTGACTGCAAGTCTCAGTTGTAGGGTTAAGTTATTATGTAGGCAGGATTCCTCACAGTTCCTTCTATGTCCTTCTCGTACGGTGTAAGCGACCTTTTGTTTTCGTGTGGTGTAAGCGACGTTTATTCAACTTAATGTCAACAACGTTTGATCAACGTTATGTTAAGAATCAGCGACAGACCCACGGCCTAATAAACTCTGAAACCGCTGTGTATATTACACCCATGAGAGGTGCAATGTTTCCATCCTCTGCAGTCATGTCCCAACCTTTATTTCCTGACTTCTTTTTTCTCCATTTGAACCTCTATATTAAAGCGTTTTAATGCTTTAGAGAGGCGTTAGTTTGTAGTTTACTTTTGTTTTATTGATGCTAAAACTCCACAGCTATCAGTTCAACTTCTGAATCTTGAATATTTAATAGCGTAGTTAAGCATCGTAGACTGTTTTTTATGCCAGACAACGTCGCGTAGAAAACGATTCTGTATTAATTGTTTAACAGAAAACGTTTGCAAACGAATTCCAGACTCCGAACTTCTAATTCATATGTTGGTCTCAATCATTACTTGATCGAATGCATTACTTGCAGTATTTAAATTGGTACGCATTGAGTCGTGTTAATCTGTAATAAAATTTTCACTTAATCAGCTTCGTATGATTCTCCGATTATTTTCATTTTGCATGGTATTCCTTTCTCCTAAAAGTTTGATGTACGGTAGTAGTGTTTTGATGGGATCTCAAGCTTGCATGTTCAACCGATTATCACGTAATCCTCAGATTATTGAAATTCATGGCGCTGCTTATCAAAATTTACTTTTTAATATATTTTTAATGTGACATTCAAGCGCCTTCCATTTATATGTATTTTAAAATAAATTCACAGTCATTTTATCTATTTGATTTATATTATTAGTTGAATATATTGTTACATGAAATATACATGTAGCTTTTTATTTGATTATCCAAAATACGTTTCCTGTTTCGGGATTTTTAGCAGGTGAATCACGTGACTTAAAAATCCTGTTGTGATTGGTGCAGACTCTTTCGCCTCCAAGCCTAGTCTGAAACGCCGAAATTCTCAAAATTTATTTAAAAATTGGTGTCAATATTAATCAGTTAAAAAATTATCAAATCAGGTCACGAAATATTTTTTAGTGTTTTTTTGGTGTTTTCAAGTTCTTTGAGATGATTGGAAATTTCATCTTCCCATGTTATTCTTAGAACAAAATGGCTGTTGCGCTAAATCTGCACCATGGAAACCAGGTGTTGAAATTTTCTGACTTGTTAATCGTAAAAGTGGAGTTATATTAATTTTTTTCATCACACAGTATGTCTAATCCAAATGTCAGGACGCGCGTATCACTTTTACGTAAAAGAAAAGACTCAAAAAAATCTTTGTGTAAAAGAAGTAACTCAACATCACGACGTATCAATGGTAAGGCAGGCTTTTGTTCGTTGTTCCATCTGCTCCAAAAATTCCATAAGTTTGATTTTTGTCTATTGATATTATTACCAAGAACGTGAAATGTAAGTTATTTCTCGCGGAAATTTTATATTACTTTTTTTTGTGCGCAAATTTGACTTTTAATATGTTCTTGGAACTTGGAAGCAATCATTTTGTAATGTGCAAACAAAGGCTTTTTTGTTATTGTAAGGACATAAGATATTAGACCTTAAACACTTACTAACTACCTATTCTTTCATTCACCATTGCCATAGCGTCTAGGCTATCTTGGTCTTTTATTTTAATCTAGGAAATTTTTAACTTCAACTTCCTTCCTTTGCCATTGAGTCTATCTTGGTCTGCTGTAAAATGTGTAGGCTAAATCCTGTTAAAATCTGAAATTTGTAGCTAACTTCACTATTCTTTCATTGCCATTAAGTCTATCTTGGTTTGCACTCTGCAGTTTTAATCTGTGAAATTTGTAACTTCACTGTCACATTGAGCTTATTTTTTTAGTTCTTTTAGGCTCTGACTAGTCATGGTGTAATTCTAGGATTGGCAATACCTACTTAACTAAGGTAGGGTAAACGTGGTATATTCCGTAATCGTGGGCAATTCCGAGACTTCTCAACTTTTGTCCTTTATATTAAGCTTTTTCTTAGTTCCATGCATTCGTTGATGGTTGAAATAGTGACATCATACTTTGGTGCGCACTGTGCCATACTATTGCCAAAACACTAGGTCTGGGCTGTCTGGTGGGAAAATGTTGAGATCCAAAGAGAGACAGTGCGCGTCACCCAGTGAGAACATTGATAAATGTGTCAAAGTTTATAGTTGACCTTGCTCTACCAAATAGTGATAAACTGTTTCTGTAGAAAGAATATTATGGTTTGAGACTTTTAAATACATCTGTGAATATATTAGGAATCCTTTAAGTATACTTGTATTTGCTGATTTCGAGTGGTAAAAAAATTAATAGATGAAAAAGTTGAGAGACAGTTTTAAACACATAAAAACAAATTCCGACACAGCTTGGAATTAGACACACACAGCTTGTTCCAACTTCCAAGCTGTGTGCCTAAATCAAAATTTTCTTAATTAAAAGCTTAATAGCTCCTAATTAAAAGCCTAATTAAGAAGTGTTCAATATTCAATAGTGTTCTAATTCCAAGCTGTGTCATATTCCAATACAGCTCACACAGCTTTTGGAATTTGAACACAAGAGTGTCGGCATTACAAATTAGTAGAGTTTGAAGCACGGTGGAAATTAGTCTCACAAAATGCCGAATTTAGTCACACAGTGTTGGAATATATGGATTTGGTAGGTTTGCATTCTAAAGGCTTTTAAATAAATTTGGCAACATTTTGTGACATTTCATTGTTGATGGCATGTAGTGCGGTGTTTTGAGAGTGATGTAAAGCAAACAAAACTCCGAGTTGCGCGTACGGTATATTTTATATAGCCATTCATTTTTTGCTACATCTTTAAAGTGTCGGAATATACCGTGTTTACCCTACTTGTCATGTTATCAGACTTATTGGTAATTGCTAATTTGCCATCCGTAATGGTGAAGGGTTTCCAGTCTTGGGGGAGGAGTAGTGACAAGACAAGACTTTTGACTGACCCAAGTTTGGAATTTAAATGATTTAATTTTTGGTCAAAGACAATAGTCACTTGAATTTCTGATATTAAATGTATAATTTCATTTAAATAAATTATCTAAAATTAATTACTTCTTTGAGATTTCTTATGTAGGGTAAACGCACCGTATTCCGACATCGTGGGTAATTCCAACACTTCTCAACTTTTTCCTTTATATTAAGCTTTGTCTTAGTTCCACGCATTCGTTTATGGTTGAAATAGTGACGTCATACTATTGCGTGCCATACTATTGCCAAAACACTAGGTCTGGGCCGTCTGGCGGGAAAATGTTAAGATCCTCAGCGAGACAGTGCACGTCACCCACTGAGAACATCAAAATATGTGTCAAAGTTGATTGTTGACCTTGCTCTACCAAATAGTGATAAACTGTTTGTGTAGAAAGAATATTATGGTTTGAGACTTTTAAATAAGTCTGTGAATATATTAGGAATCCTTTAGGTATATACTTGTGTATATGCTGATTTTAAGTGGTAAATTAATAGATGATTTATTTAAGTGACGGTTTTAGACACATAAAAACTTAATTCCGACACAGCTTGGAATTAGACACACACAGCTCGTTCCGGGCTGTGTCCAAAAATTAAAATCTTCTTAACTAAAAGCTTAGTAGCTCTTAATTAAAAAGCTTAATTAAAAAATTTAAATTTTTCATGTACTTATTTGAACTTATTTCCACCAAAATTTCAGTATTCAATGCTTCCTATAATTTGAAAATGAATATTATCACTTTCAAAATGTTGTTAATAAACTAAAATTACTTCCTAAAATCTGCACTTTGAACAATCAACTTCATCTGAAGAATTATTTGTCACTGAAAATTTAAATATATGTATATAAATTTATAGATAAGATTTAAAATTTTATTATCAATTACAGTATGGATGAATTGAAAAATTCTATAATTTGTTACTGCCATGTATTTAATAAAAATATTTTGAGAAAATTGAAAAAAATTGAAGTTTTATATACTTTTGCAGATGCCTTGCGTGTTGCTTTGGACAGCCGTGTGAACTCTGAGGCATCATCTAGCAGCATCTCGGCTACAACTCAAGAGACTGTCAGCAACAGCCCCACAATTACCACTGCTGCCAGTTCAGCCACTAGCGGCAGTAGCAGTAGTAGTAGTCCCAGTAAAAGTTACTCAGGTTTTGCTGCCATAGAAGACTTACTTTTCTTCTCCCTCGGTGAATCGTCAACAAGTTCAGCTGAACCTGGTAGAAGGGGTGACACCTTATCCCCTAACAATCGTGCTACTCTGAAAGAAACTTGTGAAGTTAGTGCACACCCATCTTCTGAAGACTTGCCTAGGAGTGACAGTTATAAGGAAGTGCCAAGTGTAACGGGGGTTGTGAAGAATAACTTTGTCTTGTTAGTTGGGGAGAGTGATAATCCTGGAGAGGGGTCATCTCAGCACATCATGCCATACCATCTCAGAAGAAAGTCACCTGGGCTCAGACTCAAGAGTCCTTCAATAAGTCCAGGAGTTGATTCATCCAATCAAATTAAGCTTATGAACTCTGCTTTAAATTTATCTGCATCAGGATCAGGTTTGGTGGACCAAACTTCTTCTGCATCAAATATTTTTCCCACGTCTGAGTCTAGTACCAGCGGGTGCAAGATCTACCCAATTGCTGCTGGTTCTTCAGGAAGCTCGGGAAGATTGCTTGAAGAAGTATCTACATCAGCAGGATTTAGTGTCTGCTCTCCGTCGTTAGGGGGCCATGCTATGGGCATCAACAATCCCCCTAATCCTCCTATACCCAGCACACCATCCACCCCTGGCCCTTCTCAGCAGATGGTTCCACCTTCTGTTTTGCCTTCGTCCGATCGATCGTTGTCTGTTCCATTTAGTACTCTTGCAAACAACTTCATTAGCATCAACACTCATAATATCCTTGCTGCTTCCAACCTTGTACATAGTGTAAATAGTGGCATTAGTAAAAACAGCAGCTCCAACAGCTCCTTAAATCGTTCAAGACAAGCCGATGAGCTCATGCAATTCATATCATCCAGTCAATGTAGTAACCATCCAAGTTTGCAGGCTTCTAATCAAGTTCCACCTCACCAGTCGCTTTCTATCCTAACAGTGTCGTCTTTGTCAAACTTGTCAACTCTGTCAATGCCTACTCTCCCTATGTCAACTTTATCTAACAGTAGTTTAGCACCTCCCACCTCACACCAACAGCTGCTCACCATTACGTCTGCTACAGGAACCAGAACATCTGCTTCTTCTGCACTGTCATGCTCTTCCAGGGGCGGTTCTCCAAGTTCCCTGGTTATAGGGACTCCATCAACCTCAGCTGCGGCGCCGTCATCTCCATCCTCACTCACTTCACCCTCACTTGTGTCCGTTTCTTCACTTTCACCTTCCATGCTGCCTGCTAGAAAACGGCCTCGAAGAACTTATAATTCAGATGCCGCATCTGCTGCTGGACCCTCAGTTCCAGCCGCCACTCCTGCTGAACCCAGTGACGGTATAGGAACTTCTCCACTGTCACCTTCATCCCCCAACTCCCTTTCTCCATCACCCAACTCCTGTTACGCAACTCTGCCACAAGCTTCTGCTGCTGTCCACTTCTATTACCCTAGCAGCGCTGCCCACTATCTCCTCTATGCCCTCAGTGACGAGGTGCTTCTCTATGTTTTTTCCTTCCTCTACGAGAAAGACTTGAGCCGCGTGGCGCAAGTGTGCAAGCGCTTCCACACTATTGCCACTGATACAGAACTCTGGAAAAGGCTTTACCAGGGACTTTATGAATATGATTCGCCTCTGTTTCATCCGGGGCCAGGCAAGTTTGAGTTTGTTTCTCCTGAAGACAGCGAGTATGAAAACCCTTGGAAGGAAAGCCTTAAGCAGCTTTACCACGGAATACATGTGCGTCCTAAGCATCGCGTGCACGACAGTGGCCGGTCTGTCATCATTGAGGATTCGATACCTAAAGCCTTCTTAAAAGCTGAGGATCAAGAGAGACCTCTTGTCTTTGTGCACCAGGGCACTCACAAGGGGGAACAGGTCGTCATCGAGAACAATATCAATGTCATCGGAGCCGCGCCTGGTGAGGTTTATGCTAGTTTTTGTCAATTATTTCATTTGAGGTATCTATTGCCATTATGTATTCATGTCCCGCAACTTTTCATTCATTCATTATGTATTCATGTCCTGCTACTTGACAAAGCTACAAATTTTGTATTTTTTAGCAGTGAACTGTTACTTCACCACAAACGCTGTATATTCCCTTATTAAAAAACTAAATCAACAGATAATTTCATGATGACTTCAAAGAAGAAGTCTCTCACATGTCATTAAATCTCTTCCCTGTGCAGGCAACGTGGCCGAGAACGTGATCATCGAACACGACCGCGAGTCCAGCGTCGTGCTGGGGCCAAACTCGCGTCACTCGTATCTTGGATACGTGACAGTGCGCTTCTGCCCTGCCGCCGGCACGGAGAGCAACCACGGCACCAAGCACTACTCAATGGAGGTCCAGGGCAACTGCTCGCCTCTCATCGAGCACTGCATCATTCGCAGCCTGTCTCACTGTGAATAACTTCAATGTCTTGAATATATATTGGAGTTAAATCTCTGCTGTAGTGATTAATAACCAAAATTTTTACTTGCTATCTGTAGAGTATGATTTTGGAAATATTTGGAACAATTGTGAACAAATTTTATCACTCGTAGTAAATCAGTTCAGGCTCACTTTATCACAGTGAGAGTCATTGGAAGTTAAAGTAAGAAACGTCGTAAGCCAGGTGTTTTGTTTCTGCAGAAAGTTTGCAACAACGTTCTCAATGTCTATTTTTTTGCAGTGGGTGCAGCAGTGAGTGTATCAGGAGTAGGTGCAGAACCTACCATCCGCAGATGCGAGATCTCAGACTGTGAGAACGTGGGTCTCATAGTGACAGATCGCGCCCAAGGCTTGTACGAAGATAATGAGATCAGCCGTAATGCTTTGGCTGGCATCTGGGTGAAGAATTATGCTAATCCTATCATGCGACGCAATCACATCCACCATGGCAAAGATGTGGGCATCTTCTGCTTCGATGGTGGACTGGTGAGGCTCTGTTTTCATGAAATACATCGTTTAAGCTTTCATTGTGTAGGTTGTGGATTTGAATTTTTAGAGTTTTTTTCCCACAGGGCAAGCAACTGCTTGGAACTGACTCAAGTCGTTTAATAGCATTTCCGTAGTTATTAATCCAGTTAAATGGAAGTGCCTAACTTTAATTTCAGTCTTTATTTATGTGTTATGTTTACTTTTTTGCTCCGAAAGTTTATTTTCTAAAATTCTCAGAGATTATATAGTGCTTCATTCTCTCACCTTCTATTTTCTTAATTCTTCTGCTATTACGTACTGCAAAAATGTCCATCTACTTTTTTATCAGACAATTGCTCCATTTTAACTTTATTGAACTTGCTTCTAGTTTGCTAGTTCACTTTTTTTAGCAGAAACGAAACTTTTAAGCTAATGAAATATCGTTTTCATTGTCCTGAACTAAATTGTCCTCAGATTGATCAAGGAAAAGGTTGCTTGAATTGGTGACACAGTCTTTAAAAATGAATTATATGATATTTATAATCCTTCAGATTAGTGTGTTTAAATGCTTTTAATTTGTTTCTGATGGCGAATTTTTCCAATCATTTTCGGTCTGTTTCACAAGTCGGTACTTGTATGTAATTTTTACTGTTGTTCTGTTACTTTCCTTCGCTAATAATGATCGTTATAGGCAAGTATTTATTTCTTCTCAGGGTTACTTTGACTCCAACGACATCCATAACAACCGCATCGCTGGATTTGAAGTGAAGGCTACCGCCAACCCCACAGTCGTGCACTGCGAGATTCACCACGGCCAGACGGGCGGCATTTACGTGCACGAGCAGGGAATGGGCCAGTTCATCGAGAACAAAATACACTCAAATAAATACGCCGGGGTATGGATCACGGCGCACAGTAATCCCACTATCAGGAAGAATGAGATCTACAACGGCCACCAGGGTGGAGTTTACATCTTCACTGATGGCCGTGGGCTCATCGAACACAACAACATATATGGTGAGAATGCTCAGGCTATGTTATATATATTTAGGGATTTAGGAATATATTTACTAGTTTTTGAACTCTAACCTCACATGATCTTTGAGTCCATGTAATTTATTAGCATCTTCAGATTGATTTTATGGCAGTCAGACATTTGAAATTCCACATAATTATTCACAAAAATGTGACACTGAGCTTTAAGGACGTTTAATCTGATCAAAGACGATTGAAGATTTTATTACTAATGTAATTTTAATTATCCGAATTACAACTCAGTGAATAATTTATTGTCTGTTTACAGGTAATGCTCTAGCGGGCATTCAGATCCGTACTAACAGCGATCCCATCGTGCGGCACAACAAGATCCACCACGGGCAGCACGGCGGTATCTACGTCCATGAGAAGGGCCAGGGGCTCATAGAGAACAATGAAGTCTATGCCAACACCCTGGCGGGGGTCTGGATTACTACTGGTCAGGGCATAAAAAATATAAAAGAATCACCAAGCAGATTCGCCCTATCTTGAATGCAAACGTGTTGAAGACCTGCTCTATCATCAGCCCTGATGATGGAGTTGTTCTCCGAAGCGTTCGCATTGAAGTTACAGGCATCCTATATATAACCTTGTGTCTACTGACGGTAACTATTGTTACTGAAATTTATATTACATTGAAAACGATTGATGCAACTGCAGAAAAAGGGTGCACAGCACGGTTCTTTAATAGAACCTAATACTCATTATAAATGAATCTATATTTTTTCTCTCGATGTTAGCGCCGAAGTAAGATATACTGAGTTAAAATGAGTTTTGTTCTGTATTATATATTCTTTCATTTTGTAAAATTTCCAAATTCGAGTGTTAGAAATTATAACTGAAAATAATATTCTTAACTTTGACGTTTGTGTTTAATTTATCCACATCTGATTTACGTCAATTTTAAACTTCCGAAAGATCAGTAACTGTTCAGGTCATCTTTGAAAATTTGAAATTTCCAAAATATTTTTCCTTTTCTAGTAATAAATTGTTTTTTATGATATATGTGGAACAATTTCAGCCTTTTCCTTTTACCATATCCTAACCTGAAGTATATTCTTGACCATTAATGAGTGTGTTGTGTTTTGTGTTGTAGGTAGTTCTCCTACACTTCGTCGCAATCGCATCCACTCCGGCAAGCAGGTTGGCGTCTACTTCTATGACAACGGACATGGACTGCTGGAAGACAATGACATTTTCAATCACCTTTATTCTGGCGTCCAGATTCGGTGAGTAAACTCAGAGAAATGTGTTGGACTTCATCGAAATGGCGATACTCTTTTAACGATTTATAAGTCAACTATTTGGCACGACAATAAGACTTATTGTAGTTATGGCGGCTCTATGTTCCTGCGCTAAGAAAGTGCGTCACTATGCGGACAAAATTACTTATTCATTATTTTCATTGTAATTTCTATTGCATTATTTATGTGCTTAATGCGTTGGGGATGCAGCAGTTGGGGATGATCAAGTTGTGTCGCAAACATAAACAATTTAGCATTCACATGAACTTTATTCTTGTGCTAGAACATTAGTTTGCCCTATCATGGAACTGCAACTATAATGCAATAGACATCTTTCGATTGATTTTTGTAGACATTCCAACGTTATCTTTTTTTGCTGTATGCCATACTCTTTATATTATTCATGTCTTCATCTATACCCGTAGCTGTTTAACTTTAAATTAGAGCATCGCGTTACAAAGCACAATAACAATAATTATTAGGATCTTTGATTTCACATTGAATAAAAAAACTGCGGAATTTTAATAAAAAATACTTGGATTGCAGCACTGGCAGCAACCCAATCATTAGACGCAATAAGATCTGGGGCGGTCAGAACGGCGGAGTGCTCGTCTACAACGGCGGCCTTGGAGTGCTCGAGCAAAACGAAATATTCGACAATGCCATGGCCGGCGTCTGGATCAAGACAGACAGCAACCCAACCCTCAGGAGAAATAAAATTTTTGATGGCAGGGAAGCTGGCATCTGTATCTTCAATGGAGGGAAAGGTTAGTAACCAATTGGTTTTGGATTGTTATGTATCTTGAATTTTTTAATGGTTTATTCTCCCTCAATGTTGGGCCTATTTCTTCAGCGCCGACACTTCTATTCTATTCTATTCTAATGTTAAGGTACATGAAAACTGGTACCATCAGTGGCAGCAAAGAATTCCACCCTCTAAGCTTGGGTACTGAAAAACAATAAATTTTATTTTAGCAATAATGTGGATATACTCGTATTTTGTTGGGAATTTCTATTTATTTCTCATACCAAGACTTAAACAGAGCTCACGCCTAGTCTCCAATTGCAGCAGAATTGCTGCTTTACAATTAAAAAACCAAAATGGCTGACTAAAATCTTATATCCTTCTATTCTTTCTCCTTGTAATGAATTTGACTTGGTGGAAATTGTGGCATTAATGATTTTTCACCTTTTTTTACAGGACTGCTGGAGGAAAACGACATTTTCCGTAATGCTCAAGCAGGCGTGCTGATATCTACCCAGTCGCACCCAACACAATCTCACCCTGTGCTGAGCCGCAACCGTATATTCGACGGCCTGGCCGCCGGTATTGAAATAACCAACAACGCCACAGCCACTCTAGAGCACAACCAGATCTTTAACAACAGGTTTGGCGGGCTCTGCCTCGCCACGGGGGTCTCGCCCACACAAAAAGGTTAGAACTAAAACCCGTCTATAAACTTGCTCTTCTTGCTCTTGCTCTTCTTCTTGATCCGATCATGGAATAATTCGATTAATGTGCACAGTCACATTAAAAGTATTTTGGGGAGGAAAATTATTCAATTTATTTTCTGAGCTCCTATACTCAAAATTTTCACTAATATTTACGAAGATGAATAAATTTCTCCTACCCATTATACCCGTCTATTCAACTCCCTTCATATTAAGAATCTAACCATCAATGCTGTCTTAGCTTCAATACTTCAATGAAAATTATACGTATGATGTTGAGGTACCAAGTTGACTCAGTTTACAGGTTGAGATCCAATCTAGAGTTACATACTTTTCTTGCTTCTTAATTGAAATTGTTGGCATTTGATACCATCGTTAATTATGCAGTGACATGAACATGATGAGTAGGAGTACCATTGCTTTAGAGGATCCAATGGAAGCAAGATCATAATCCTAACCAGCTCAATTGTTTCCCCCTATCCCTTTCCTTCTCATGTAATTGAAGATCTAGCTGATGAATTGTTTTGTGAACAGTAAGTGAGATTCTATTCCTTGACTCGTAATTTGATTAGCGACATCAACGGCACGGTAGAGAAAACTCAGTTGTTTCTCTGTGTGCCTATTATTCTCATGATTACGGAGTTTTAACCAATGAATTTTTGTAAACGATGAATAATATTCAATTCCTTAACAGGTAATAAGATTTACGACAACCACGACGCGGTAGAGAAAGCTGTGTCTGGGGGCCAGTGTCTGTACAAGATCTCGTCTTACACCAGCTTCCCCATGCACGACTTCTACCGGTGCCGCACATGCAACACAACTGACCGTAATGCCATTTGCGTCAACTGCATCAACACGTGCCATAGTGGGCATGTTGTGGAATTCATACGGCATGACAGGTACGAAACCTATTTTCACTGTTCATTCCATCATAAGAAGTTCTACTTCTTTCGTTTCAGACGCCTTATACTGATATTCGGGCTTGTTCATCAACATCGGGCTTGTCTGTAACAGCACAGGGGCTGGCTTGAAAAACTCGCTTAAGTATTCACAGCAGCTGATTTTTTGTCTGTGATTGGTGGGTTTAGCTCGAAAAGCTGTCAATGATCGGTTGCCAGAGTTATAAACTCCAAATTATTTTTGATAGTGCGGTTTCAGGTTATTCACTGTTTATTTCCTGGCAGGTTCTTCTGTGATTGTGGTGCAGGCACCTTGAGCAACCAGTGCCAACTGCAGGGGGAGCCTACGCAGGACACCGACACTCTTTATGATTCAGCGGCGCCAATGGAAAGTCAAAGCCTAAGTGCTGATGGCTAATGCACGTACTTTATATGGATACCTTGAAAATATTACTGCTGCCAGGTCATGCTTCTAATACAGTTCTTAACACGAGTAGCTTGACGCAGGATGTTTTTTATGTCGTAACTAGTGTCGGGTCACTAGGCATCTGCCATTGAAATAACGTTGCTTAAACGTTTCTGAATCAATCCATAATCAACGTCATATCAACGTCATTTGCCTGAAGGGTTATGTATAGGCTATGCTACACTGATTTACGTTTTTGTGCGACTTGAGGTTATCACTCCTAAATGGCATTTTGGTTTGTGTGGTTTCAGAGACTGTTAATTACTCACCTTTCAGTTTTGCTGTCCTATGACCAATTCAGTACCCCACTAAACTGAGTCTGGGCTAGAGAGGAAAACGTTGCTTTAGTAAGATTAAAAATAATATCGTTTCATGTAATCAGCCCTGATTATGTCGTGCAATGGAATTAGGTGAGTAATTTACGTAGACATTGAACCCAGTTGATGTTTTGCAAAATTAAAACTGCCTTTTCTTTCGGATGTCCATATAAATTTTCATTCACTTTTTATACTCGTATAACAAAAATTCTCTTGGAAGTTTAAATTTTTAGTATATTTTGTTCATGTACATGTGCTCTTAATTTCGAAGGGATTACCTAGACCTGTTGCTTTTTGAGCTGAGCTTCTGAATCATTTAAGGTGTTGGAAACCCCTTTAATTTTGCTCATCTTCAAGCTTACATATTTGCTACTTTATTCATTGTATCATTTAAGTATATATACATGATAAAAAAATAAATTCTAGCATAGCTTTAAAATTAAAATTAAGAATTAGCTGATGACTTCCTTCTTTACAACGTGTCCGGATACTAACAAGCTCCTTGGTGATTTACAACTGAAATCTGATTAGCATTGATTTGACCCCCAAGACTTTCAAGTATTATCCGAGATTTTCTGTCGAATTCCGATTTTTTTTTTAAATAATTTGGTCAGCTTGTTCATGAAGTGACTGCTGAATACAGTGAATTTTAGTTGATAAGTTTTTTGCGAGACTGAGACCACCAATACAATCTCGGATGTTCTTCTCAGGTATCCACTTGTGAAATATAACTCACTGTATGGTTCATAAGTAATCTATTGATCCTGATTTGTAAACTGTAAGTGAGGATGATAATGGAAATAGCAGAACTGGAATCTCTGGAATTGGATTGACACCTAAATAGTTCACGGTATTTTTTCTCGTTTGTGTTGAATTTCATATATATGTTAAGTGATCATTTCACGCTACCAAGTTCATACTACCGGCATGCTGAAATAACCTCTGTAACTATTGCAAATTACAGTGCTTTCTACGGCATGAAAGCTGCTATTTTACGAAAGGCTTACAGTTAAAAGTCTCTTTTTTATGTAAAAAGTTAGCTGTGCCATTTTGAGAGCCCTGCACGTAGAGAAAAATGGTAGCAAGCAAGTGGTATGTCCTGTACCTTAGCTTTTGTGTCTTGTATACATGTATAAATTTCATTACCGCCATGTACGTGTTCCTGAAATTAGTCGAGTTAGTCTTTCGATATATGCCGTGTATTTCTGAAATAATAACTTTATTAAGCTGTGTTCCCTTGCAAGGCTTATTCTCGTGTTCTGATTTTAGTTTTGTCAGCTTTACAATTTTGGGAAGACATTTCAATGTTTTTCTGCAAGTAACACTTCACTGGAACGCTGCATTTGGGTAGCAATTGAATTATAAACACGCTGCAAGATATTATTACAATTAACAAGTGGGTGTGTTTTGTGTATTTTGTATGGTAGTGACTGCTAATCGTACACTTATACTGAGCTATGTGTTAGTTGTAAGTGGCAATGCAGCAAAGAAATAAGGAGTTCTAGGGTTAAGAGTTTTTACGTGTTTTTTGAACACTGTTGATGTGCAATATTCAAGCCGTGCATTCGTGGGCCTGTCGGTGCTGAACAGGCTTACTTTGATGACAATTAATCAATGTTATCTTACCAGAAGGAAATTTCCCATGTTAGATGAAAGGCTATTGAACGTACTTGATCATATCCTGCTTGGTTTGATTTTGTATATCATCGCATGCTTGGGTTACAGTAAATCGATTTTGTACATCTACCTAACAACAGGCGTTTTAATTTGTTCTGATCCACAGTTTTTCCCCAAATTGGAAGGGGATAACATTTGATCTAATTGTTCATCATTACTGAAAATTAATGTAAGATATGCTAGATTCACACGCTGCAGTAGGTTCTTTGTGCAATATGAATAAATACCTCATGAGTGTCGAAAGCAATAGGATTGCGTTGCTACGCTTTCTCAGTTGCTTCAAGTGGCTTCGTTAATATTTTTTAAGAAACTTCTTACAATCTTCATCTACCAACAATTTATCAAGTTTTCTTTATATTCTCACGGGCTAATATGAATTATATTCTAACTTTTTCTCGTGATAGTTCCCCCTTATAAATGTTGAGCATCGTAGACTTATAAATCCAATGCTGACTTATTCCTTTCACAGAACTCAACCTCAAAATTTTTATTTGACTCGCAACATTAACCCGTGAATGTGACTCGTATGTGGATTTAATGACATCACTTGATTTATATCATGGGCTAAACAAGGCATTTATTTATACATTGACGGGACCTTGATTTAAGGTCACTGGCGCCATATATTGTTATTCCGGAAAGCAGAACAAATATGTTTTTGGGGTCTGGAATGCATTTTGGAATCATCTTTTATGTCCAATTTATGTTTTGCAATCATTTGTTGATTCGTCACTGTGATTCCGTTATCAATTGAACTTTCATTTCAAATCCGAAGCATTGCGATTTTCTTCGCCCTCTCAGGGTTTACAATACACATTTTCCCCCAGATAATTTGCTGCGAAAAAAATTCATAAATTTACACTTCCATTGATTTCCAGTTAAACTCTAAATACTATGTATATATATTAAGGATCAATCAAAATGTTACGTCTTTAGCGCCGACTGCTCTAGAGACATTTATGCCCCTTACCTTTAATATCATCGAATGGTATCCTAAATTTATGTCTAAAGCTTCTTCTAATTATGGCTATGCATCCTCGAGGGATCTGCCTTTGTGTGTGTAAAATAAGGAATTAACCGTTCATGTTTTTTGCCCTTAATTTCTTTTCCCTGGATATAAATCAGTCTTAAAATATTCATAATATGTTGAATTTATGGCTGCTGTATTTCTTCACGTTTAATGTTGTTCTTATCTACGACTAAATTTGCAGTTTCTGCCTGGTTGTGTGATCATAAACCATCAGCTATCAAGGAAGAACATTAATTATTTTGTAAGATTTCAGTCTGTTTTTGTGCAATTTTTCTGCTGTTAGTTTGCAATGAATTTGATGCTGATGTTCATGGATTACTTAACCAAGGATGTGAGAGGAAACTTCCCAGGTTATAACTTGAATTCATTGGTGTTTGTTGACTTAGCATTGATCATTGATGAAATTTGTTGACGTCATTGTTATTTCAACGTTGTTTGTTTAGAAAGCTTTTTATTTCTTGAACGTTTAATTTGGGTGTACCATGTAAATTTTACGTAGAGTTATTACTTTATTCCGCTGATCTTAGTTTGTACAGTTTGTAATGGGTAGCTCGTCTCAGCCTTTGGCAGGTTTCGTAGGTTTTTTTATTCGCCTTTGTCGTGGTGGTATTTTTTGAACATAGATACAACAAATCTGCCTCTGAGACGATGGCAATGAGTATGTGAGTGTTGTACAAATAATCGTGTAGCTTGTATCCTTATTCTTACAATGCACTAGCCATACATTCGTCGTTATTATCGAGCCCTCGTGCAGGATTTGACATTTGTTTTCTATGTAAACATTGCCATTAGCAATGCTGTCGTAGTCCTAGTATACTTATCACGCCGCAATTTCAATGATAGTTTATTTCGATTGTTCTCAGGTTTGCTAGATCTCAATCCCATAATTGGCTGATTGTTGCACTATTTCTAACCATTTCCGATATCATTATACCAACAACTTACTATTGTTTTTGACGTTTCCCTTTTTAGATTGAATCAGTTGTAAAAGTGTGAAAATTTAGGTTACGAACTCGATTCAAATATCAAATAGAGATAATTAATTGAAAATCTCAGGTTGGAAGAAGGGTTGGGTTAACGACCCAGTATTGTAGCCCGACTACCGACTGTTGATGGGGTTTGAATATTTTACTTTAGATTGAAAATTCGTTGACTTCAGTTCGAATAAATGATCATGGCCTCTCATTTCATGATATATTTTACTAAACCGTCGCTTCATGAAGGAAATTAAGGGATTTTCTTGATTTTAATTATGTTTAGTTGAAGTTTTTCCCAACCTATCGAGTGTTTGTGAACGAATCGGGGTTCGCTAGCCTAATTTTTTGTGGTAATTATTTTAATCCAAAATGATCGAGTAAATCTGCATTAGAGCTCACGTAAGTTTTATGTCGGATAAAATGTGTTGTAAGAAGTGTGGGCGTGAGCATGGTTGTTAGTATTTGCAATGCACCTCGTGTATGTGAATGAGTGTAGTATTCTAGCATTAGTTGTTTCTCACGTACAATAGTAAATCTTGGTGCCAACGATGTCCCCTTCCTTTCCTAAACCCTTCTCTTTATTTTTAATTTTAACGTTTGTTTCTTGCAATAGCTGCTCTCTTATGTACACTCCTAACTTTATCTTGATTCATTGCAAGGCCTTAAACGAGTATTGATATACGAGTCTTTTAGCCAAATGTTTCTTTTGCAGTATGTCCGAACTGACCAGGAAAACGCAGAACATTTAATAGTCGAAATTTTATTCTAAATTTACTTTTCTTAATCTGTTCTTTATCAAAACCGTTTGTTGACAACCAGCATATTTATATTCTATTGCGTGCCGCATTCGTCGAGGGAGTTGACACATGGCTCTCTGAGCGTGTGGCTCAGGCGGTTAAACTCGACAGAATTACTCTTGATAAATAAAATTCTGCACTTACATATATTGCAATCATGATGTTCCACGAACTGAAAACTTTTATATACTTCATGCGTTGAGAGTCTTCTGGTGCTGCGTGCGAACTTCATACTCTGTCACTAACCATTTTGACGATTTTTGATGCGTTTCACCCCTAATTAAAAACCTAATGCGCTGTCAACAAATTGGAATTTTTTCAATGCAGAGTATTTTATTCGTTTTGTTTTTTGACTTGATTTCATGCAGGCCTTTGTTGTAGGCTCATCTTACATGCCTCTTCTACTGATGTTATCTTAAGTTCTGGTTATTATGTTATGTTCTAACCTAGAGTGAAGAGTATTTTCCTAGCTTGAAGTTACGTGCAATACGATGGTAAGATTTCAATTGTTTGAAATGTTTCTATCTCGCTCTTGAAAGTTTCGTAAATATGAATGCATAAACTCTATCTTTTTTATCGACTTTTTTGCAATTATGAAGCTTGAAAAGAGTACAGTCTCGCAAACTAGTTACTCGTTATCACAAAAACTTGAATGTTTCTAGTATCTCTACCAGTAATTTCAGATCTAACACCAAATTGAAGTACGAGTTTCTGTGACACTAGTGGGTTGAGTAGAAGCAATCGTGTTTTTGTTGGCGCTACTTTGTTAGTTTTTATGTCGTAAGTTTCGTCTTTGTCGTAAGTTGATGCCGAAACATTTAGTTCAGGGCAGGAATTTTTTAATTTTCAGGCATTCACGCCAACTCACAGATCTTTATTTCCATCTCGTCTTCTTCCAAGATTTTCACTGTTAATTGAACTACATTTGTATTTGTTGCATTATTTGTACTTTTTATTTGGTTTCTAACATACTTGATTATTTTTTATGCTTTTCTGGAATTGGTTTAGTGTAATTTGGTGTTAATATATCCCAATAATTAAATGAAATCCATTCACTACATAAATACATTTTCTTGGTTAGGTGCAATTTCATTTATAATAGGTATGATTACTCTCAATGTGAAGCCTCCGGAAATTAAATCTGTTCTGATTCAAATGGAAGTCGGTCGCTTGTAAAGAACTTCAGATGCTTCGAAATAAATTCCATCAAATGGAGCCACACACTTGTACCGAACACTCGAGGTTTGTGTGTATCTTAGATGTCAAAAATGTTTCCTATTTCGAAGTTTTACAAGTTATAAACTATAGATATTGTTAGCTCTGTTTACTTTGTTTTCAAGCTCTAACAGTACGTGTTTATTTTGTGTCATTTCAATTATTGAGTAGAACCACTGCAGTGGTTAACTCGGTTGTTTCTTCCTCTAAGATTTGTTACCGTTAACTACTCCCGTAAAAGCAAATGCTCTATTGGTGCAGCATTGCTATATATGTGCTCTATGTTTTATAGGAGTGTTTCACTAAGTTACCCTTTAATTATTACTACTACTATTATTATTGGTGTACAGAAGTGCACACCGTCGCTGGTTATTCCGTAAAGAAGCTTTAATATTCACTTGCTTGTTTACATTTTACTGTTGGGTTCGTGTACAAAAGTTGATGTTTATGTAGACTCTTTGTGTATCTGCTAGAGTAATTATATTCTTAGGGTAACACTACTGCAGCAGCTCGTAAGAAATACGTTAGTTTTCAGGCGGTAATCCATCAATAAAATAATAAAGATTCCCCGAGACTTTTTCCCCTTGCTCTCTTACTAAATGACCAAGGCAGTCGATAAATAAGGTTAGTAGAAGTGGCGTTAACCTATTCGAAACCCAATGTAGCCTTTTTTTCGTCGTCAATTTCTACAATCTTAGGACTACAACCACAGACGAAGCATTTCGTCATATAGTACTACAAATTTGGCCTTTTGCCTTCCCCTTTCTTTCTAGCAGAATGACAACGCATCATTAAAAGAGAATTAATAACGTGGTTTATTTAATATTTTACGTTAGATTAGTAAGGTTCAACCCTGATGCGTTCTGTATGTTCAAGAGGGTTCAACCCTGATAACTTTGCGTAGTACCAAAGATGACCCTACATATAAGAGAACGTCTACCAAGTTTAAAAGGAATGGTGCGTAAATAACTTATCCGAAGCATATATACAACATTTTCTCTGAAAAGATCATTTGGGGTTAAAAAAAAGCGTTAGGCCTGGCATTAATGGCACGGGAAATTAACCAGTGTAGATGCTTATTGTTCAGTCTTGAAATGCCTAGCACCTTACTAAGCTGGTAAGTCTAGTAGCGAACACAAATGAACGAAAGATCTGGTCTTTCGAAAAGATCTGGTCAAAGGGGCGGTGTTTAGAACTCTGAACACGTCACGAAAAGTACAAGAATCGGCAACAGGCCATGGGCCTATTTCTTCAGCGCAGACACCTCTATTCTAAACCGAAATTAGGAAATTGTGCTCAGGTATAATATGCTTCGTAAATGAGGGACCATAGATTTTATGTAAACCGAAGAGATGAATGCGTGCTAGAAGTGTTCTGTGCTCATGTAATTATAGTTACTCAAAGGGCCTCTATATCATTGAAGGTTTTTTTGAAAAATTACCTTGTTTGATAAATATAAGCATTCCATTCATATCGACATTTTGGTATGTAACTAGTTAAAATCACAATTACTCCGAACAGGCTTAAGGATACAGAATGCATTAAGTAAATGTATCGTCCTACTACGGCGTTGAAATTCCAATAGAACGTTATATCTCATAACAGTTAACATAACTTCTGTGATTGTGTTCATGTGTATTTAATAGTTTCACCTAATATATATTAAATTGGTGCCACAAACAGAAAACGAGTTGCCCGTTTGAGGGTATGTTTCTTCCCCCCATATCCAAGTATTGGACTCATCGTTGAGTTCACTACTTCGCCCAGATTTTCGTCTCAGTTGTGAGTGGACACCCGCTCAGTTACGTACGTTCACGTGGCGCTGTCTTCACTTTTACGGACTTAACCGTTGCTTATCTCACCTTCGAAGTGTCCCTTAACAAAAACAAAATGTCAGATCCAAACAACACGCACAGTATTGCAGATTACCTTGCACAATTGCTGAAGGATAGAAAACAGCTTGCTGCTTTTCCCAGCGTCTTCGTGCACGTTGAAAGACTCCTAGATGAAGGTAGGACCAACTTGTGTGATACTTTCTTGTTGGCGTGCCCTTCCTGCACGAAATGAGAATACCGTACGTACATCCAACACCAACAGAAACCTTTCGGATCTCCTTCTTGGCTTGGGTACTCTGACAGCTAGTTTCTAAATGCCATTTTTGTGTTTGGACTTTTGCATGTGTCACTTGCTGACTCCTAAACAATAAAAGCACAGTTTCTCTTTGTTACAATATTTTACTCTTACGTTCAAACTGTGATTTTTGCGCTTAATCTTTAACTCTTTATTAACGCCTGTCGTTTGCGGTCTTATCGGAATTCGTCGTTTCAGGCATAGTCATTTCGAAGCAGATCGTAAATTCTTGTCAGGTGCGGCGTCTCCAGAATACCCGCCTCGAGCAGCTGTGCCCCAAAGTAACTAGGCCACACAGCGGCACCTAGGCGACCTAGCCTCTGCTATTCACGATTGAAAATTAATGCCCTACCCTAGGGTGATTATGATAGGTGCAATAAAATTCAGAATCTTCTTGGGTGAGGTTAGGTCTGGGCCGTCTGGCTCCATTTAATGAATGAAATTGGATAGAACATTTTTGAATGGTTGAACAATTTTAGCTAGGTACTTTACAAACTAACTGTCTTAAATTCTTTCTAGATGTGATATGATATCCTGAAACTGGCCATTGTGGCCAAAGCCATAACTGCATCTCTGTCACTTTTCAATTTCTCTAATAAATTTCTTAGTAAGACTTTAATTTGCATCCCAGGAGCTGCAGAAAATCAATTGTCCACAAGACAGGTACACTTACACACCTTTCCATAGTGGTTTATAATGAGCTGGAGTCTGGACTAAATTTCCAGAATGCTGTCTTTATTTAGGCCCAATTGGTAGACATGGTGAATTTTCTATGTTTAAAGCTGCAGCCTGCAGACATTCTCTTTTGTCTGTGGTGGAGGCCTGTGGGTCTTTCTCTGCTTCTTTGGAAGTGGATGAACCTTTTTTGTTCAAATTTACTTCTGAACTATTTCAAATTTACTTCTGAACTTCATTTACTATTGTCTTTTAGTATATTGCATTCATATTTAATGTTGTTCATCTATATTTATCAAGTACAATTAATCCCCATAATTTTTGACATCACAATTAAAATCATTAAATGTTAATTGTGTGTTAGCACCTGTAATTTTGTATTTTCCACTAAGCACATGCCAGTGCACATTACTTGCAGGTAAAGATCTTCTAAAATATCTGTGATATTATTCTTGTTGTATGTGCTGACTGAACAGGACTTTGGATGTCCCAAAAAGCCATGCTGTTACCTGGACAAAAGCAGCTCTGGGTGCCTTTGTGTTCCTGTTACTCCCACCTCACCTTCCCATCTTTATTGTTCTGTTGGCCACATTTTCTGGAAGTTTCTTTTCACTTGCCTTACATTAGATGCTGACTCCTTTGAGGGCATTTTCTTCATGTGTAGCCTATTGAGAATTACAATCATGGTTTGAGTAGCTATATTTGCTGGAGAGGTTAATTTTCATTTTTCTTACAATGGTAGATGTTTGTTTTTGAAGAAAATTACATTTCCTTTTTTGAGAAGAATAATTTTATATTTTTTTCAACATTTATGTTTGCTTCAAATAAGTTGCTGCTTTATTAACTAAATATTCATTTTTTTATATTTTCTTAAAAAAAGCCTGATTTAAGAGTTGACTAGGGTATTTTACCAGTTGAAGAGTCTAATATAGATAGGTACAGAGTCTTCTAGAATAATATAAATATATTCTTTTTTATTGTATGTATGGGTCATTATGTATTTGATAAAGTATTGCTATAAATTTTCATCACTGATTGATCAATTTTTATCCACTTCATCATGAATATGTATTATTTTTCATGGGTAAGTCTACAATTTCATTTTCAATCTAATTTTTTAATATCACTTTCAACCTCCTAGTCACAATTCAATGTACTTGGCTGAATCTAAGGGTCATTTGTTGAAATTAGCCTCCTCAATGTTCCCGTTATTTCTTCTCACTATGGCTGAGGCTCGTCACATTTTTTATGTGCATATGGTGAAAGGAAAAATCCTACATGCCATTTAAAAGGAACTGGCCTGTGAATTCTATGGAGGGATTCAACATGCTCGTCATATGTAAGCTGAAGTTTGAGAGATCGTAAAAAGCTTGTATTTTTTAACTGTGGTATGAAGATAGTTTGATGAAACTGACGGGGAGTATGTTTTTTTTTTTTGCGGAATGCAGGAAACTTCAGCCTTAATTACTCGGTTACTTCAGAACCGTTTTCCATGATTTTTTTTTTTTGCTGCTCACCATGTGTGCGTCTCGTGTAGACAGGAAAGGCGGTTGTCTCACGTCACAAGTTCTGGGAAATCTCAGTGTTTGAAAGAAATTTTTCGGCGCCATGTCCCAAGAGAGCTCATTAGAGAAGAATGTTCAGCCCATGATGGTCACTGTGACCTTTTTTGGTTTCGGCGGGTACTTCTAACGGTATATGGGAGGATTTTTTTTTTTGGAAGATAACGAATGAGCTTTGATGAGTTTGGTTTTGTCCTTGCGGTTACCAATCCTTATCTGGTGTGATTTTTTTTTGTACTGAACAAGTGAGAATTTTGACGCTTGCGTGATTTCTGAAGATAAAGTATTGGATTGATGATGCATTGGGGCGTTTCAGGCGCTTCTTCCGTTGTGGTATTTTTGGCGCATTTTCTCATTTATGGAAAAAAAGGCGCTATTGTTTGTACATACGCTCAATAATGCGCCTCTTGAAAATCTCTCCACAAAGGGATGTCGATTTGACCTTTTGATGATTTTTTTTTTGTTATTCATCACGTTACCATCGAGATTTTTCTTGCCTAATGTTTCCGTGCTTTTAATCAAATTAATGTTGGTTACCAAGAACTGGCTTCAAGCTTTACTTGTAAGACATTCAAATTGAATTCTTGAGCGTTTTAATTTCAAGGCGGTCTTAGGCAGAGCCGAATGTATGTACGTATATGTATGATAGTAGGTATTTCATGATGATAATTTCGAGTTCTGAAAATGTTGGAATAAAAGTTACATACAAAAAAATGCGTACAAAAATATTGTGCTTGCCAACGCATTTGGAGATATTCAATCTTGCGAGGCTATAAATTAGAACTATAATTCTAATATGACCGAAGTTCTGAGACCAATCGATTTTTTAGACCAATCGAAACGCGTGTCTGGCTCGCATCGTAGTCCGGCCACTCGTGGCGCTTGAATTTATTGGATTTGATTTTCTGGCTCGCAAGTAACATAATAATTATGTATATTAGCTACACGCTCGTTATGGTTGAACAGAAATATTGTACGATCATAGCTCGTTATTGTTTCACGAAAATATTGTATGAGCTATGCTCGTTATTGTTTAAGTCATCTGGTTGTCTTCAGAATCAGGTTGAGGTTGCCCATTTGCCAGGATATCTCGATGACGCTTTTGTTGCAGTAATTTTGCTGTTTAACGCTATTCCAATGTTTGGTTTCGTGAAACTTGACGCGAATTTCTGACAATAATTTCTTATAAGTTGCTGTTTTTTTAGTTTGTTTAGTTTTTAATGAGTTCTTGATTATTTATTCTCCGCATTAGTACGTTTAAATTAAAGTTATTTGGAGCATGGTTAATATATAGAAAATTATAATAGTTTTGATGCCTAAATTTGTATTTGTTAGGTTAACTATTATTAATACGTAATATGAATTTATCTTGTATCAACCCCTGGGAAAAATTTACTATGCATGAATCAAAACCTTTTTTCTCAGTTAATCAGTAAGCAAAAAATTCACGAATCGCAAACTTCAATTCAATGTTTAAAACACAACTATGAATCAAACCTTGCTAAGGTACCGAAGTGGACCAAATTTGGTACAGTTGCCCGCTGTGAAGCAACCAAGTGAACCAAACCTTGCTAAGGTACCGAAGTGGACCAAATTTGGTTCAGTTGCCCACTGTGAACCGAACAAGCCTCGGTTACTTACCACAAACACAACGAAGACATCGAAGGCTGACAAACGGCCTTGTTTATACCCCGGCTGCACCCATTGTACCTTTCGGGGTAGGTATGATTTAAGCGGCGCGTCCTGCCGATGCTGGTGCTGTGAAAGTTATTGCTTACATGATCGCGTCTGCCCCTCTTGATTATACTAAGATCTGCGCGACAATACTCGGGCGCCATGCGAATCTATCTTTGCCGTCTAGCGATTTTTGAGTGTATAGTTCAGATTATTTACATTAATATTCGATCTATTTTTGAATAAATTTCTCAGTGTCGTTACCCAGACGTGCGAAAAAACTTATTTCTTCATCTTATTTTCTTCAAGTTTACAATTGGGATGAAGTTTTACGGTTTGTTCAGCTTCGATTTTTCTGATCGTATTGCTTGCTTTATTTTCCTGGGCTTGATCATTATTTCTTTCATGTTAAATTGAGTGCCACATTTTAGCAACGTTGAAATGCAATATTTCTTGTCTATGACTTTCTAGTACGCATTTCATATCCGCGAATTTTCGTTATTCAAAAAAATGTTACTTCAATGATGCGAACAAAAAAAAGTTTTCTTCCTCAAATCTTTCCTTTGCTTATTGATCTTGAACTTTTTTTCATCGAAACCACAATTAAAGTGATACTAATGTCTACGGCTCTGAACTACGGGCACCTAAATTCTACTAACTTATAGAAATATTTTATACAGAACATCGTGCAGAATGTGTCTCACTCCGAACTACGGCCATCCATATCCTAATGTCTTCCAGATAAACATTCAATGTAGAACTTTGTACAAAATTCTATGTAGAATTTCCGTGTCTCACTCGAAACTACGGCCATCTACTTTTTAATGTCTTTCAGATAAACATTCTAGTTAGGACTCGTTACAGAATTTTGTACAGAATTTCTGTACGTTGCTTGCTTGCGGCGCGAGATGTCAAGTTGGTTCTCAGCGTCACGACCGCGCTATTCATCTCTGGCGGTATCTTAAATACG